TCCTTATGGAGGGCCACACTTTTCACATAGTGTAATGTGACACATTGTGGAACAGTTTGTCTTTGTCAGTGACAGTCACTGCAGCTTTCCACTTCATTCAATGTATTGGTCAGCCAAGTGTTTCGTGCTGGTTTCACATCACTGCTATTGCACAAGTGCATTCAGACTGACAGCCACGTATTCGCACCACGGCGGAACTGCGCATAACAGGTCCCTTGAGAAAATGAGGAATTGGAACAGAATCCCACTGGCATTTAAAACCAAGAATCCAGATACTGACCAGGGCACATACCCGATGGCAGATTAAGGTTCTGTGAGGAGGGATTTAGTCATTCAGGATTCCAGCTCTCGGGAAGTTTATCTCTTGTCAGTGATAAACTGGGGAGAGGAGAGGGTATGGAAGGACATCACTGCTGAAACAAGAGTTAAACTATCAGGACTCCTTGTTAGTCTTTCAGGTTGAGCCACCTGTCAACAGGAGCCTCATGGCTGAGCTGCTCCACCTAGGTTACTCTGCCAATTTAATTACGAGATAGTCGGTTTAAAATTCTCAAATTGGCAAGCATTACCACCTAAAGGGGAGGGAGGCAGGCAGGCGAGAATTGGGCTGTTAAGTAACTGTTCTGAGGAACAGTTCAGTTCTGTTCAGCTTCAGTGACTGGCTTCCAGCCACTCCCAGGCCATACAGAATAATTTCCAACTGTGTTTTTATCACTAACCATTTTAGAATTCTGTATCTGCAGAAACCATTTAGCTAGTAGAAGGAAACCTCAAAACCTCTCCCTCACCTCACTGTTGATGGGAATGAAGAAAAAGAAAGTGCTTTGATTCCTATTTTGCTACTTAAAGAGGTCAGAGATGACACAATAACAGTTATTACCTTTGTGATTCTGTAATGCATTCACTGAATCACTGCTGTTAGCAGATCCCCAGGTCCCAAGCTGCCATGGTTGTGGGACACTGCAGCTTATACGGTTCTTGCCTAAATCACAGCAAATAACCTGCAAGCTCTAATCAAACAAGACACATCAGTTATCCTCCAGAAAAAACAACCACCAAACCTAGTTTTGTTCAACAATACAGTACCCAGGGCTGTACCGCTGTAGTAAGATTCTGGATCTTTGATATTTTTTTTTTTGCTTAAAAGCAGTAGCTGCTTGAATAGATTTCAAGAGTCCAGAAAAGCAGCTTGTAGGGTGGGTGCTCTAGCATACAGTAATTGTGCTCAAATTAAAAGATCTTTCCATATGTAAATCCTTTCCAAGCAGAACTAGGTCATAGATATCTTCAGCCCTAAAAAACATTTGTCAGCCATGCAGAAGAGAAATTATGCTTGCTTATCACTCAGCTTGCTTCAGTTAACCTGCAGAGCTGATGCCCCCCTCCGCAGCACCAGCGCTGTAGTCAGCCTCGTGAACTCCCAGCCGCAGCACACGGGTCAGAAAGCAGTACCCACTACTGTCGATGGAACTGCAGTCTCCTTCTTAGCATTCCTGACAGCAGAGAGTTCATCTGTACTCCAAGAACACCACAAGGCAGATTTAAACACCAAACTAATACAAAGCATGCAGCCCCTGTGCACTGCAGCAGGGGAAGAGCTGAAGGAACTTCCAGTTCTAATGTAGAGGCTCTCTGTAGCTAAGCCTTTTACCTTGCAGTCATGCCAAACTCCTGCAGCAAAGCCAAGCAACCTGGCAGGTACAGAAGACACCTACAAGCCGAGGCCTTGCTCTCACACCACCAGCACAGCATCCAGCAGAACAGGTGCAAACGAACGCCGAAACTCACAGACCAATGTCCTTTTTGTGTGCTAATAATACTAAGGGACAAGTAATAACATTGGCCTTACAGTCTGGGAAAAAGGGGTTTGTATGTAAAGATTACTAAAATGAAAAAGTACATTTATTCCACAAAAGGAATTCTTAAATAAACAACACTCATGCTAGTGCCATGCCTCAAACCTCCTTCCTGCAGTAAAACACTATTAAAGCCCTTGATACGGGAAACATCCAGTTAGACATTGCAACATAGCAGATAGCATAGCAAGATACTGAAATTCTGTCACAAGCAAGACTTGTATAAGCTAAGAGGCTCCTGAATGATGACACTAGGGCAGCTCTACCTTAGAAGTGGCAGACAAGCAGAGCCATCTGGAGCCACAGAGATAACTGGAACGGCTACCCAAGGCCCTATTGTCTGTGAGGAGAAACCTTCTGATTAGAACTGGTCTCACAGCTCGGAGCTCAGTCAACTCAGCATGTTGAGCCAAAGCTGAAAAGTACGCAGTGAAGACGACTATGAGCCTTCCTCCAGAAGACCCGGCCCATGACCACCGGATGGCTATGCACATGTGGCAATAGGAGGACATTTATGATAACGAGTTCCTGGAAATAATTACCACAGTTGTGCCTATTCCCAGCCTACGCTAATGAATATGTATGCTTTTGTATCATAAACCAACGCTTGCTTCACAATACGGTGTGCAAGTTTGGAGGAGCAATCCCCCTTACCCCCAGCGTTGCAATAAACATACCTGCTTTATAACTCTGTGAGTTGTGGAGTTTGTTTCCGCACGTCACCCTTTATTTCATTACTTCATTCCAGAAAGCTGTCCTAGAACCTGTAGGCTCACACAGCTGCTGAATTTGCTGCTGCAATAAATGCAAAACTTAAAATGGGAGAAGCTTTTCCAGGCCAATAAAAGAAAATATCAATTAAGTCAGCTCACACCACATGTCCATCTGCTTCGCGGATATAAACGTAGTCTAGTAATTCTCAACTTTAAAATTATCGTGCTAGTGGTAGGAACCTTAATGGAATCTTAAATGAAACCTGTAACAGTGCATTAGAATAATCTTACACTTAAGGAGCAAAAAACCCTGAAGTGACCACTCTCAGTGTTCAACTGCCAGAGATCCAAATTTAACATAAGATGGCATTCATTAATTGCAAGTAACCTAGCGACTCAGCACATGGCAAGTGCAAGAAAAAGCAGTGTTCTTCCAGCAGCAAAACAGAATTGGGCAGGGAAGGACACCTGCAGAGCTCACAAGCTGCGAGTATGTACAAGGAGCTGGAATTTGACACTTGTCTCAGGTTTTAGAATTATTTTAAAACTAATACTTCATGTCTTAATGCATCAACAAAAAGATGTGGTCATTGACAAGTACCAAAGCACCTACCTGTAGTGAAGATTGATCCTCTGCTTGTTTTGTATTTTGTAAATACAGATCAAGTAGGTCTTTCAGAATTTTTTTTTTTTTTTAAAGTCTAGAAAATGGAACCTGGCAAAATTACCATGTTTCCACCAGCTTTGTTTCTAATAGGCTTAAGATTTTGCTGTGCAAAAACATCAGCTTGTAGCAAGATATCAGTAAGATAAACACTGAATAAGAGAAACACTGAATAATCCTAATGTGTTTCTAGTACCTTACGTATCACTTAACACTGCAATTTTAGTGTAACAAAATAGCTTTTGAGAAGCACTTTATGCTTTGAGACAGATGTGACAAAGGGCATCAACTGCAAACTAGCTACGGACCCATTACATTTGTGCAATGCTTGTATAAGCAGTTCAGTCCATCTTACCATATTTTTGGTAACATTTGCGCAATGGAAGAATCTTCAAAAGTGAAGGAAAACTATACAGCCATGTACAGGCTATGACATTTAAGAAGTTTCTCCTCACCATCTGGGAAACACCTGACAAGCTTCCCTTCACCATACGCTTCATTTAGATGCAAAAGATTTAATGGGCCTCCATCTACTTCATTTTGCTGCCTCCATGTTTATCCCTGGCCCATTCGCGCTTGCTGAGTTTACATGACAAATCCTCAAGCAATAGCCTGGTACAACTCCCATATTAAGGTGAGATACTGAGTATATTTCAACACGTTTCTCATATGCTCCCTGAGATTCTCATGCTCTGAAGCCTGTTGTTCTCCTTTATCTCCCCCTGCCCCCACCCCAACTTACACAATGCAGATGGCTATCAACTCAATCTGATTACACAGCAAAAGCATAACATTCATTAGCTGGGTAGAATAGATCACATTTAGCAAAATTAGTACTACACAACTATTTTCTTCCATGAAAGCACAGTATTATTTAACTCTGGGATCACCGTCACAAAGAACAAACGAGTAGCCTGTGTGTCTTTGTGCATCCCAGGCAAAACAAAGTGATTAAACTGAACAGGTTGCTCCCTGTAATATAGAGAATTGAAGTTAAGGCTCATACCATTGCCAACACTTAAAAAGCATTGTACGCAGCCACTCAGGCCAGTATCTTGGGGCTTCTTTGAAGAGATCATAATGAAGAAAAGCAAAATTCTTAATGCAAGAACTACTGGGTCATTTGCTTTGCTGACCAAGGTAACTATGGCCATATTGTCACTACTGTGAGATGACGTTTAAAGTGACAAATTAAGTAGAAACAAAGGGATTGCACTTAGGAAGCAAAATGCAAACTCACAAAACTTGAACAGTCAAGACCTTAACAAAACTTATCTCAAGCTTTATGTGGACACTTGGTATTGTGTCTTGCAGGCCATTCACAAAGGGTCACAAATTTAGCTGGGAAATTTTAAGTACTATTAGCAGGTATGGTGGTTACTGAATATTCTAGAAAGCTTTGCATTCTGTAGAGCAGCCTTTTCAAGATATTTCTTTGTGACTTAAGGCATTTATTAATGTGAAGTTGCAGCTTTCGGGTGGTTTGTCTAGGGCGCTCCAGTTTAACCCCTAGGACCTTATGACCAAGGAACTAAAAATATACATATACCAATACAATTAGTATGCTAGTAATTCGATTATTTCTGACAACTACTTTTCAAAACAAACATACTGCCTGTGCATGTGAGAACACCTTTGGCACTAATGTCTGTTAACCTTAATATACCATTTTACAGTCTGTACATTTTCAGTGTTTGCAATGGGTCACACTGTCAAGATGTAAGGCTACTAAAATTCAATTCATAGTATTTCCATAAATAAAGCCAGTCATCTTTCACCTAATTTATTTAAGTTCCAATTTTTTCCAATTCCAAACAAAAGCTAAATACAAGTTTTAAACAGGTAAGCACTAGTTTTATCCAAAGGGAGCAGGCTTATGCAGTTTTACTCCAGTAAAGTACTCAACCCTTAAGCAGAGCCTTCTTTGTCATCAAAACTATACAGTAGTCTTCCTTTTATCATTGCACAATCTTAAAATGTTCTGTCAGAACCAACTTTTGACACTCCAAACACTATTTTACATTGTTTTATAATGTCTATTCCAAAAGAAAAAAAACCTCAATAGGTTTTCTGTAAGAAATGTTTTAGAAACCAGTATTTCCTGCACAGTTCACCTGCAAGTTTACAAGTCTCAACTCTCAAGAAAAAATAATCCTCTACCAACATTGTTTCTGCAGCTATTATTTTACTTTATTTTTAGCTGCTTTAGCAACTTCAGACTCCAGGTCTGCCTCATCTGTATAAATGCATCCAACTCAAAAGAATACTTTCATACAGTTATACAGCAACTTGGGGAAAGAGATCCAAAACAAAAGTGCCAGTAAACTTAGACATGGCCCAGCAAAATAAAAGAGGCAAAAAATGCCTACACATTAAATGAGATGCTTTTTTTTTTTAAAGAAAGATTTCTTTCCCGCATTTACTTCCTATTGTAATAGCCACTTTTCTGTTCATTAAAATGAATGATAGTGCTCTTTGATACAATCATTAACAGCAAAGCTATAAGGCTTTTATACCCGTTACATTCACTTCTCACCCTCCAAATACTGATGGTTAACATTATAGATGTTAGGGGGCATGACCAGCACAAATGGGAACACCACCACAAATGATCACCTTGTGCTTTCGGATACATTTGTTTCAGTGTACAGTCCCTTCGTTTCACATTTTAGTAAGATGCTGATGCAGTGCAGAAGCGTGCAGAGCATCCTCTCTTTCACAAGGTCCATGCAGAAAACATCTAAAAAAAATTGTAAAGTTCTGAGATACAAATGATAAAAAAATCCAGGATGATCAAGTTTCACAATGTACAGTGTTCTGAACATGAGTCCATTTTCTTCTAAATTCTGAAAGAATAAAGTGGTGAGGAAAGTGAAAATCCACTGCTGCATTCTGTGATCTTCCCCGTTTTGCTGGCCAGTACCTTACTCTGGCATGTAAGGACGGAGGTGATCCTCTATGGTACCAACCGTCCAGTGAGTGAGCTGCTCCTGTGGCAGGTACAGGCAGATGCTGCATAACTTGAAGATGGTAGCTTTGTTTTTTGGAGTCTAGAGGCAAAGAAAACCCAAAAAAACAACTATTAAACATGAAAGTTAACTCAAGGCTAATAGGCAGACCCCCAGCAGATCCAGCCTAATTATTAGCTTGCTGCTGGTCGTGGAAGAACATACACATTTAAAAGCCACTGTTTCATCTATATAGAGAGCCTGAACTCAAAATTAGCCTGCGACCTCTAATGCCCAAAATATTTTCATTATTCTATTCATTCTTCACTTGAATAATTCCCCAAATTAAGCCAACGTTTTAATTTTTCCAAAACACTATTTTATAACTCACTTAATTTTTAATACGAGAACACCTAGTTGGAACCAGATCATCTTTAAGGTCCCTTCCAACCTACACCATTATTAAATTAATTCTATGTGAAGACATCCGTGACCCATGGCTGTTTTTTACATGTGAGAATCCTATTTATAGCATGTTTCCTCTGAAACTGCTGCAATGCAAGCATGAATGCATGACCAATTCTTCTATTGAGTACTTTGCAACAAAATCAGCAATGTTCTTAAGAAAAAGCACTTTATGATTAAAAAACAGTTGTTAAGAGGGACGAAATAAACTTACCTGCAAGTGCTGTCTGTCAATGAAGAGAAACACTGACTGGTTAGGGTTGTTGACAACAATTCCAGTCTTGTCCTTTCGGCTCAGAACATGCAGAAACTGTTTTTCATAGTCACCGTGATGAAATTCAAACTTGGCCTGCATCGTGTGAGGGAGGGGAATAAAACATTTATTAAGCTAAAGCTCACATTTAACCAATTAATTTCCTTCAATCTGGGGCTTTTACAACTGCTTTTGTTTCTTTCCTTTTCTCAACTATGAAAAGCAGAAACTGGAGACCACAGCAACGACAACACACTTGGGTCTCGGCACAATTTAAAGAATTCCCTACTTTCTTTCTCCCAACACTGCCATTAGTCATTGCAATGACATATTAACAATTCAAGGGTACAACTTTAACTGCATATATAAAACCAGTTTTAGCTTGTTCTGTCAGAACATCCCTGTGCATCACCAATGCAGCATATTTCTTCCAATAACTTAATACGATTGCAGAACCAGCATAGAAAATACATATAATATCATTCAAAAAATCTGAATGTGAACAGCCAAAGCTGACTAAAACAGTCTAAAGTGTTTGTAATTTATGTCAAGGTAAAATAATAATGCAAAAATTTCATCCATCTCAGACCCTCTTTCACCTTAACAAAACACAGCAATTTGGGATACTCACAGAACTTTAATGACACCATCATACTGAGACAAAGATTCAATTGCACTAAGAGCCACATCTAATACTCTTCCACAAATACTAACATGATATATGTATTTATACATACATGACATTTCCAAAGGTCCTTCAGATGTTTAAATTTGAAATTGCTAATATAACAGTGCATAAAGACAGAAGGTAGAATTTGGCACTTAAAACACCGACTGCTTTATAAAGACAGACAGCATACTTTCTAACATCCATGGAAGTCACATGCCTTATCAGCTTATAGGTTAAGAAGAGAGAGTACTTATCCTCTCCTCCAGGTCTAAGTTACTTATTGACATTAAAAAAACAAAAACAAATACCTGAACAGGCCTAAAGGGTTCATCAGATCCCTTCCACCGAGAAAACAGGAGACAGACTATCTTCTCAATATCATTACGAGGCCAAAGAATGAAGTCCATCTCCTGGGTACAGCCGATCACATCCTGTAAGTAGTAAAGTTCTGTACTTACATTCCTTCCATTAGTCAAAGATACAGACAAGCAACTTATCTATACAGGCGTGTCATTTAAAGGTGGTACTTATTACTGTATTTGTGTAATTTTCCATTTTCATGACACATAGCACAACTAAAGTCCTCCTTGCATTCCACTAAGTTTTAATATCATTATCCAGTTACTACAAATTCCATCTTTAAGCAAACATTAGCAAAGACTGTCTATTTTCCAATATTCATAAAGCAAAATGACTTAATTGTACAGCAAGAGTTCTTATAAGAATTAACACATGCCTACTAAAGGACAACGATGGCAAGAAGATATAATTCCCAAGGCATATTTGAATGAGACAGATGAAAGGAAAAGCTTGAGCACTACATATTCAAACAATTTCAGAATATGTATGCTGTTACCCTTCAAACTAGATCCCATAAATACATGCCCTCAGAACCCTTGTGCAGCAGAAGAGTTAAGGAAAATAAAACCAGCAGGATTAGCCTTAACATTTATGAAGAAAAGCACAAGTGTTGAAAACAAACTAAAATTCAGCAAGCGTAAATAGTAACTTTACCCTGCGCATAGACTGGTAGCGGGGTGCATGAAGCTGTACTACATCCTTCTGCAGAAGCTCTAAGGAACTTTCCAAAGAATAGCTGGAATCCCGCACACCTTTCAGGATATTTTCTTCATAATTATTGGTCATGACTGGTATCACTTCAGACACTTCAAAAAGCGCTGACTTTTTCTTCTAAAAAAAGCACAGGTTACATTAAGATTACAATCCTTTCTAGGCAATTATAGATAACAGTTTACATCAGAATTTGTGATTTTCTGTTAGCATTCATATATAAAGTACACACCACATAAGTTAGGACTTTGATGAAAACCACACACATTGACATGCAAAATTTTATAAATTAAACAGAATCAGTCCAACCACTTTTTATAAAAAGAAGTTGAACATGGTTTTGTAGTCTACAAAGATACAAATTCGCATGCCAATCTTGCAAACATTAAAGCTGTATCTAAACATTAACAGAACTGCCCTTTTATCAAGTACAAGACTTTGTGCTCACCAAGAGCCCTCTGCAAGCTCCTCTTTGCAAATCAAGTAACACTTTTTCTCCCCCTTGCAATACTTTCAAGTTGGCTTTTTATGAAAAATGAAGTCTTTCAACGCCACATTTGGTAACACTGGATGATCAAGATCCAATCTGAAGTTAGCCACATGTCATAACCTCCTCAAAGGACTATTTTAATTTGCTAAATAAAACTTTCATACTCAATACAAGGTATTTCAGTATCTCTCAAGCAAGGACACAACATCGTGGGGAATTTGGAAGAGCAGTTTTTGCTGTATGTAAAATTGCTTAAAGTTGTCTGTCTGCTTCTAACAGCTTTCTTATAGCTCATGAGAAGTCTTGATCTATTTAAGAGCTACATGACAGACAAAGCACATTTTATCAAATAACCCTCCACACCCACAGCCAGAACAGACATAACAGGCAGCTATTTGCTGAGCAAGCTAGGCTAGGCCAAGCTAAACTCCTACTTTAAGCAAACTGGTACCGGCTGGACATCTTCACTGTGACAGACACAAAGGATAGGATTTAAAACAGGCATTTGCAATGAATTTCTACAAAACAACCAAAAAGTAGTGTGAATGCTCCAACTAAAACCACTAAAGTAATATAATCTAAGAAAACCTAATTGTTATCACCGCTTAAGCATTCATATTTCTCTTTACCAAGAAATTACATCCCACTATATCAATCTGTTTGCAATAGAACTGATGAACAAAAAGCAAATTGAACTCAAGAACTGCAAGGAAACTTTTCAATTAAAAGTGTTCAAAGAACACAGCCTTCACTATAAAAACGCAACTATTAAAGCAAATGCAAAACTACACATCTGAGGGGATTAAACAATTTCAGTGTTCACCTACACGCATTTTCTGCGTTACGTACTCTGTTGCCATTTGCTTCTATCTTCACTTCCTCATCATTTGTTCAGCACATTCACTTACTATAAGCAACTACTTTTATCCACCTTCTGTGGACAGAAACTCTCCTACAATTCCAGGTCGACAGTCAGATTTAGGAATACCACAGTCACCTTTAGGAACACCACCAGGCTCCCCAACCTGGCCCAGATGCACAGCATCCAGCAGCAGCAGATGAGGCAAGCAAGACAACAAAGATTGCCTCCGTCCCCTTTCTGCTCCCTTTGAAAATGGTAGCAGCAGTTTGGCATATGCCTGTGTGCTTGAGCCATTTCAATATTGCATTCTGTGACTCCGCCCTTCAACTGCCCTTCCCTTCTGCTTTAACCAGATAAACACAGTAACTTTAGCAATCGCTCCAGCCAGGTCTCCCTTTTCAACTCAACTGTTCATAGCCAACAATTATGCAATTCAGACTTCAATTAGGCTTAACAAATTACAGTATTAACTTCTAAAAATATTTACCCAATACAGAAGTTACCCAGTCATCATTTAACGAGGCACTGGCACGCTCTGCATTACAAAACCATAAGCATACAAAAAGCCAAAATGACAAACATTAATTAAGTAAATATTATCACAATTCACAATTAAAAAAAAAAAAACCCACGTTTAAAAGTCAATGGAATCTACTAAGGATAAATTGCAAGATGCAATCAAGCAGCAAGATTTTACACAGCACAGTTACCACGCATTGCAACAGACAACACACCAAGAGAGAAACATTAAAACCAAGTTACCTTGTCTTTGAACACAAAGGCAATATACATCTTGAAGTCAAACTGGTCAGCTAAAGATTCTTTTTTCTTTCTAAGCTGAGCACGAAGTCTGTTCAGAGCTTGTTTCTTCCGGGAGTTTGGGTCCCCCATTTTGTAATACAGGTGGTACTAAAGCCTTTGGAAACTGTCACTAAACTATGGGCACCTTTTCATAAGACTCAAGTACAACAGAAACAAGTCGTTTTATTCCTGCTAATACGACTGAATAGATAAAACGCGAATGTAACCCAAAACCGCACCTCAGGCAATATTTTACGAGAATGTCATATTGGATGGGTCAAGAAACAAAGTAAGTAGTTGTCCAGCCATGGCTGGACAAGAGATTTAACAATAAACCAAGAAAAAAAAAAACCTAAGAATTTTGAAGAAAAAAAAAAATTGAACCGTTTAGTAGCAGGAATAAGTGGGTAAGAATGAAAAAACCAAAATAAATCTTATCACAATTTATGTGTACAATAAAAAGCAACTGGCACAAGCCCAATCCATGGGGGGGGGTATTTTTGCTCTGCTTACAAAAAAAAAAAGAAGCTGAAATTACAAATTGCGTTTTACCCCAGCCAGATTCATGACTCTACTGATTATTATTCTCAGCTTTCCACTATTGCTATGTTGCCTGTCTTTTTTTTTTCTTTAGAATTATTACACTTGGTGGAGGGCAGAGAAAAGGGTGCAAAGGAGGAGTGCACATCCTGGGAGATAGACTTCTCTGCCAACAACAAAATCAACTACAGACAACACAGTGCTGGTTTGCAGGGGAGCAAAGAGAAAAAACAGCGGAGTCATTTCTAACTTCATCCTGCTCATCATCAGGCACATCATTGCCCTGAGGCTACTGCTGCCCAAGAGAAGAGGGATCATGATGGCCATAGACGAGGGGCGGGCAGGGGTTCAAGGGACAGTATTATCTCACCTCGAGACTAAAACCCAAACCAGTGCCCCAAACCCGGGCTCCTTACCAGTGGGAGAGCCCTACATCCCCCAACACCTCACACGCTCCCTGGGCTGCTGATCCCCCGGGGACCCTTCTCTCTCTGCTGCGCTCCGCAGCGAGCGCAGTTAGCCGAGGCTGTGCATGGCCAGTGCTTTTCGCTTCTCCTTAGGCCTCTCTCTACGCAAGATGGCAGAGGCGGCAGAGGCTGCCCAGGGCAGCGGGACGGACACCCCCAGTCGCACAGCGTCTCCCCTCTCACTTCATGGTCACGATTTGGAAAACATGCAGAGCTTTGCTCCTGCTTTCCCCCCAAAACAGATTTTCGGTGACAAAAAAATTGGAGAGGTTTTTTTTTTTTCTTTTTAACTGCAAGCCTAGGTTGCAATTTTAAACCTCTAACACACCCTTTCCCCCTTCCCCCCCAAAAGCTAATCCCCAATTATCAGGTTATTTTCTTCCTCTCTCCAGACATTTTCCCCCCCCGGTGTTTGATTAGTCGGGGTTAAAAAGTTTTTAGGTTAGCAAATTCGCCGGCCCAGGCTGAGAAGAGGGGAAAAAGTATTCCCCCTTCCTCTTCTGACAAAAAAAGAGGGGGGAAAAAGAAAAAGGGAAACAAAACCAAAAACAAAACCAGAAGCCCTCCCTAAACTTCCCCCCCCAACTTAAGCAAGAGACTGAGAGACTCAGGCAGGAGGCCGAGACCGTGGCCCGCTCGCTACC